ACGTGAGCGGACGACGTGTGACGCAGCGGGGGCCCTGCGGGTCACGTGGTCGGTGGGTGTCGGACACCGGTCGATACATCTTGTTCCTTTCAAACAGCGATACTCTGCTCCAACACGGGCCACTTGCAGGTTGTGTCGATCGTATTTCCTCTGTTGCGCACTACAAAACCATGGACGGCAGAGGCTACGGTTCTGGTAAATGCACACTGGTTGTTTTTTGTACATTTTGCTGCGGACATTATCAAATTTTCCGCTGTTGCGTTGTTGTCGGGGAAACCTAGCCACTGCACGCTAGCTGTGAGCTAAGCTAATTCAGATTTTTTAGCTTGCCACCAGCATCAAGCAGCCGGCTACAGCTTGAAACAAAGAGGCGTGCAAGCTAGCGAAGCGTCAAGTGATACCTTACTGACTGCGGTGGTGGCAGCCAGACAAATATGTTGATTTAAGAAAGGAAAAAAAAAACCCCCGCATAATTCGTGAGCCGCATACTAGGCCCATTAGCTAACAAAAATCAAACGTAGTTAGCCAGGCGAGCCACTTGGCCGCCGGGCTGTTTATTTGCTAATGTGCTAGCACAATGTGGGCCTTTGTCGAATTGTTGTAAGACGCCTTAGATGCTTTGCTAAAGTTAGATGGCTAATTCCTGTAAAATGGAGTCAGTGTGGGAAAAGCCTCTGTTATAGGCTAGTTAAGAAAATGGCCGCCTAATCCAAAATGCTTTCAAAACTTGAGTTGGTTTAACGTTATCATTTAAACATTGCTGCGTCCTGAAATAGATTAATTTGCATTAAGCTGTCAAACCTGGAAGCTGGCAGATCTACTGTCCGAGAGGAAGAGGCCTGCCAGTCTCATCCATAAGTTCCTTTTGCTGAGCTTCCGGGGGCGTTGGTTTTTTTTTTATTTTTTTAACGGTTCACTGCTTACTACAGTAAGACACATTAATGAGGTCTTACTGGTAAACAAATCCACTGTGTGTGTATAAGTTTGAATATTAGTGCCTGTTACAGTTCATTTTGCTCATCCCAGTCTATTCTTTCGTTTCTTAGGTTACTCCAGTTGGGGAGGTGGAAGCTCCGGCAGCAGAGGTGAGGAACTGAGCGACTACACCCTGCACTGCATAACGGAACAAAGACACTCATATTTCACCGTTAAACCGGAGCTAAGTGATGAGGACGAATCTGATTTGTGAAGTGAAGTGTTGGCTGACTTTCAACTGATTGTGTCTTTTAACTTTAAATTGGGTGGGCGATGCAGTTTTGCAGAGAGGAAAGCAAAAAAAAACACAACATTTTTGGAGGTGATCATCAGATAAGTTGATGTATTCACTGATGAGTTCACTCAGCACACATTAGCCAAACATCCTTCTCGTATAGTTTGGCATCACAGAGTGAATCTCTCAAAATTCACCAATAAAATTAATTGCTTGCTAAAAAAATAAGAAATCTACCATTATTTTTAATAACAAATAACTAACCACTGTTTCCGTTTGTGCATCAAGTAATTATCAATATTTATTCCGTTGGATTAGGATCTTTATTTATTAGCATTGAAATTAGTTGCATTTTCATTAGCTGAAAGTCTTTTTTTTCCTAGTCAGGGGCATGATAGAAACACTTTTGATTCTTTACTTTACTAGGTTCGAGTAATTTTGACCTGTATGGAGGAGGTTATAAGGACTCGATGTCTGGGCTGGATGGCTATGGAGGAGGCAGCCACATGAGGAGAGGGCTCTCGGGAGGATCTCTGCTGTCATCCACAGGGACGCATGCTGATGCAGTCATCGCCAAGATTAACCAGCGCTTGGACATGCTCACTCAGTTGGAGGGAGGGTTGAAAGGATCTCGAGGTGACAGGTAATGATTGCTTCCTTTTTCTGCTTCATACCGTCGTCACCAGTCAGATGCCACTGCTGCATAACCATGCCAGTGAAAGCATTAAACCCCCTAGTAGTGCCTTTAAAAGTTCAATAACATAGCACATGTTGTAATGTGCCATCTGGTTGGTTGGCATGAGAGCGTTGCCTCATGTCAGAGTAATATCCAACCAGTTACATATTCCTTGTTTTAAGATTAATCTGAAAAGAATCTCTGTAAATTTATATTAAAGGTGTTGAGTTCTTTTCGTGTCGTTAGTAATTTAAAAGTCAAACTGGTCTTGCCCTAGTTTTGGATTGTGAAGCTTTGCAAAATATATGCGTTTAAAAAGAAAAAGAAATCCAATAATATGCCAATGCGGATTGAGACTAGGAAAGTTGTCCCTGTTTGAGAATGGTGAGGTTGCTGCAGCAAATTTGTCTGTTTTAGCCTGCTACGACATTTGCTTACACGTCACACCCAGTCTTTGTGAAAATATGTATGCCTCAATTCCTACTTGGCATGAAAATGGTGAGAGTTGCTCACAGCTGCATTTGAATGTCTCAGCATCTGAGGATGCTTTTTTTTGCTCCCCATTTGCTATGTTGCAGTTTGTCTGATTTGCTGGGAAGAAAATGTGATCCCTTCAAAATCTTAGACGGTGTGAAAATGCATGGTCCCCCATAGGAGGCACAACTGCAGCCCAGTTTTTCTGTTTGTAACAGATCGACATCCTTGCACATGGTGCCAGTCCATCTTTACCTTTTACTTCTAGAACATTACTTTTGTCTTGACTTAATGTTTATGTGTTTACACACTTTGTTTCTCTCATCCGCCATGTGACCTAACCCTGTGTTCTGGCTTTAGGTTACGCAAGAGAGATGAGTTTACAGGTGCTGGCCTGGTATTACTTTGTCAAGCTGCAATGTTCGTTGAAGGATGCTTGCTGTATTTCCAAAAACACCATTAATGCTTGAAATACCCAGTTTATATTAGCATCCCCTTTCGGTTGTACTCACTAAAACGGAGTCACTTCCCAGGATGTAGCACTACTTGCACCTGTTTCTCAAGACATCACTGGTTCTGATGGACCAGATTCATGTCTATTCAAGGTTTCCCAGCCTATCCTGTAACAAGGAAAAGGAGTGAAAAGAAACTGCATTTTCCTAACCTGCAGTTTCTGTAAATTTAAGAATAAGAGAGAAAAAACATTGATATATAAAAACAGACCACAAGCAGAGTGTTAAGTTGTTTTGGATCATCATTTTTGATCTAATGTGGCTTATGAAATAAAGCTGGGAGTGACAAGAAAACATGGAGAAAGCGAGACCATGGAGGAGAAGAAATAGCAGGTGGAGAAATCCAGACCTGACTGCCTCCCTTGCGCTCTGCTGTTCTCTGTCAACCCTCTCCCTCCCTCCCTCCCGCAGGTTTGACCAGTACGAGTCATTCGACTCGCGCTCCTCCACCCTCACCTCCTCCCGAGATCTCTACAGATCTGGCGGCAGTAGCTATGGTTTTGGCGATGGCCGTGGGGACAACATGCTGATGGGTCAGCGAGGAGGCTCAGGCTTCGGAGGGGGAATTGGGCTAGGGGGAGGAGGAGGCTTTGACAGCCCCTCCTCTTCCTATGGCGTCGCTAAAATGCGACAGAGTATGAGGGAGTCCTTCACCGGTGGCCACGGAGGAGGTTCTGGAGGTGGAGGATGGGCTGGAGCAGGCCGACGTTCCCCCAGAAGGGGTGGAAGTGCCGGGGGTCGAGGAACTGGAGGAGGGTTTGGAAACCGCAGGTCTGACCCCACTCCATTAAGCGGAGGTATGCGTGGAAGTGGTAGTGGTGGCCAGTCCCACCGCGGCCACTCTCCAGGAGGTGGTAGAGGCAAGCTCCCATCCCTCCTGTCCAACCGCATGTACCCTGAGACTGGGGGCTTCCAGGGTTCTGCTCCAGGGCCTCACGACTTTCCTGGGAGGCATTTTGGAGGGGGCCCACGGGCTGGCCGCCAGCGAGGCCGCAAGAGACCCCTGAACAAAGTAAGTACCTCCAGCCAAATAAGACCTCCTCAGACACTGGGCAAAAGTTAAGCCCTTTCTGATTCCCTCCTGTTTATGTCCTCAACCAACTGGCAAGTCAGCCTGAAGTGCTAGTGCCTGCTATTTGCCATCTAAAGCAGTTTGTCACAAATAGTCACCAACATTTGATATCACAATTGCCCTTCTAACTCTACCAAGGCCTCCATTAATGTGGTCAGAAAAGTGTCATGGAACTGCCCTATTTCCACAGTAAAGACAAGTGACACATCTCCCCGTCTAATTCTTTGTCTTGTTAGCGGTTGGGGTGTTGATTTCACTTTGTGGCTCTTATTTAGGTTTTTTCTTTTTCTTTTTCTTTTTCTTTTTCTTTGTCTATACCCCAGACGTGAGTAATCTTAACATAAGGCAGATACTATTGATGTGGAAATTCCCAGAGAAGAAAGACATATCAATGATTGGCTTTGCCAAGCTTTAGAGTAGAAGTTATTGATATGTTGATTATAAATTGTGGTTTTATTGTCCATGTTTTTCTTTTTTTTTCTTTTTTTTTGTCAGAATATGTTGTCGTGAGTGCAAATAGACTTTTTGTTTACTATAGCAGATGAAGCCAATGCGAGATGTCCAGAAGAAGAGAAAGCAGACTCTCAGTGGAACAGATGAGCCAGAGTCAAAGATGAACAAAACAGAGAGTGCAGGCTCAGAGGCTACACAAGGTACTTTCTAAGATTACTGTGTAGTATTGTCTGTAAAGTAAGGTTGTTACGTGGACAGCATGTCTATTTCTGTCTTAATCTAATGTTTATGTGCTTTGGTTATTTAGAGCAACCAGAGAAAAATGGTGATGACGGTAAACCACAGACTGAAACTGCGGTAAGTAGATCAAGCTCTTAACTCTGAGTCTATGTGATCAGGAAATAATGGCCTATGAAGGGAAGTTATTGTATTACTTTGTTCCTATAAAAGCACGTGCTTCAACTGAACAATGCTTCTCTTCAAGCAATTGTCTGTTTTATGGTTGGTTTTTTTTTGTGAATAATGAATAATCGTTCCGTACAGGAGACAAAACCTACTGAAGATGGAGATAAAAGTAAGCTTTAGCACTGTGGCTTCTCATTTTATTTGTTGTACTGTGTTTACGAAGTCTGCATCAGCTACTTCTGCAGACATCTTGTGTGTCTAACTTCTTGTGCTTCTGATCAGCTCCATCCAAACAGGAGGACAAGAAAAAGCCACAGGGCAAACAGACCCCAGCCCAAGGTCAGGACAAGCACCCAAAAATGAGGAAAAGAAGGGGATTCCTGGAAAGGTGAGAGGACAAACATCTACAAATTAATAAGCCACCCTTTGTCCCTTCTTTCTTTTTTACTGGGAAACATTTATCTGTTTTTTATCCTAATGATAAAAATGCATGTGAATTTGATCACCTGTGACTGTAAAACATTGATAACAATTTACGTATTTTGACATAGCGCTAAATAATTTTACCATGTTTTTTGCCATGTCTTAAAATACCAACACTTTATGGTTCACTGGGGCAAAGTTTTATCTACTTAGCTCACTTTGCCTTTTTGTTGTCTGTTTTAGAGCTTAAACCCAGTTTTTTCCCTTCTTTTTTCCAGGGTTATGTTTGCATGTTCTGTGTGCAAGTTCCGTTCGTTCTACAAGGAAGAAATGGAAACTCATCTTGAGAGTCGCTTCCACAAGGACCACTTTAAGTTCCTCTCCAGCCAGCTGTCCAAGCCCACTACAGACTTCCTGCAGGTGAGGTTACTCGTGCATTTCAAATCACATTAACAGATGCTGTCATTCTCAAGTAGACGTTTATAATAATTAATATATTCATATCACACAACCGACCGAAGTCAGAGGCTTTTGGACACTTTGTATTAATTATGGTCACTATAAATGGGTGTCAGGTTCTGCCCAGAGCCCTGATTTAAAAGTTGAATGTGATTTGCAGGTTTGGATTATTCAGGCTGCAAATTTAGTTTCTGTGTTTGTTGTTGTTGGTTTTTACTTTTATGTTATATTGCACTATGTTCTTACTATTACAAGAGTGCCTATTATAAGGTCCACAGCTCTCAGTAGTGACACATTTACTTTCATTTCACGCTCATTTTGTGGTGTTTCCAAAGTTAAGAACTTTCAGTGTGAGTTTGAAAAGAAACGTCTTACACACAAAGTACTGTTAGTGCTCATGCAAAGTGTGGACGTCCCGGTTGTCGTAAATACAAACACGTGGGTTAATTTGACACAACAATTTTTGTGCACGCAGCAGGTTCAAGAGTTGTAAACCAGAAATCAGAATGTTCATTTTGTGTTTGTAGGAGTACTTGCAGAACAAGTTTAAGAAGACGGAACAGAGGGTGAGCCAGCTGGAAAACCACAGCGCAGCCATCTGCCAGGTGTACAAAGAGCAGGACCTTACCAGGGGTAAGCAGCAGCTCTGTGTGTTAATGTCCCCAAAACAGAAAGAAATGGCAAGTGATTGCTAACTGCCGAAATTTCTCTCACATCTGCGTAGATCTCGGCATGGAGCACTTCATGAGGAAGGTGGAAGCTGCTCACTGTGCAGCGTGTGACCTTTTCATTCCCATGCAGCCACACCTGATACAGAAACACATCAAGTCTCCTGACCATAACTACAACCGCAAGGTGAGGCAGATCATCCCAGAATGGACCAACTACATGTACTGTTCTTTAGCTAACTAATAAAGGAAAAAATTATCCAGGAAGCAACACTTGTGAACCACTGCATGCCTAAATTGTAGTTGAATTGTTCGCTATGAAGGCTGTTACAAGCTCATCCTGTGATGGTTTTTCTTCTTTGGATGTTTTGCACTCTGTCCTACGAATGACCTGGAACTGTCGTCTGTGTTTCAGGGTATGATGGAACAATCCAAGCGGGCCAGTCTGTCGGTTGCTCGCAGCATCCTTAACCACAAACTCATTGGCAAGAAGCTGGAGAGCTACCTCAAGGTATGTACGCTGTCTAAAAAATGCATCGTATTGGTATGCACTAAATGGGCTACATTAACCAGAGTTCATCTGTGACTGTCAAACAGAAAAAGAGAATCTGAATTCATAGTCACATTATTGCATGTCTTCAGATGAAACCAGTGTACAGCCCTCTGGACCTGGCAGAGTGCTGTTACTGTGATGCTCCTCATAATTCGTGGCTTTAATTCTAAACTTCTTCATATTGTAACGCAACGGAACTGAGATCAGGATAATAAAGTGGTACAATGTTGATAATCATTTGAATACCATATGAGTCCTAACAGGCAATACGTGGGTGTTGTGCTTAGAAATAGAGAACTGATTTTAGTAATAATCTACGTCACACTTTTTATTGCTGAGAGGAACAATGCACAAGCAGGGTTGTATTTCAAGTACAAAACATAACATGCATGCACAAATCAGTCCACCTGAAAATGATAGAAGCAGTCCCCGGAGTAATAATGATGGGACTGACGATGTTGCACGTGAGCAGATATTTTATATTTGTTTATTAATGCAGGTCATGCAGGCTTTTAATGTTACCTCAGGCTAAGTTGTTACTGTTTAGGTTTTCAGTGGTGCTTGGAGTGTCAGAGCAGCACTCTACATACCTTCATAATGTTGTGAAGAAATCATTTCTGACACAAAAACACATCAAGATTTCTGCGTCACATTTAAATCTTATGAATGCTGTGGTTCATAGACAGTTGTGCATATAAACATCTTTTCATTTGTCAGGGCGAAAACCCATTCACCGGGAACCAGGACGATCAGGATCCAGAGGACTCCATGGTGATGGACGTGTCGGAGTTGGAGTTAACCGGTGAGACAGCGGACGGCCAGACGGAGGCGGCACCAGTCAAAGATGAGCCTGTGTCTGAGGGAGACCTGAGCAAAGAGGTGGTCGAGGGGGAAGCAGCAGAAGCAGCAGCAGCAGAAGCAGCAGTAGCAGCAGCAGAAGAAGAGGAAGAAGGAGCACAAGCAGAAGTAGAAGCACAAACAGAAGAGGAAAAGATGGAAGAGGAGCTGGGGAACCAGGAAGAGGAGGAAGGTTTTGAGGTTGGGGAGGAGGAGGAAGAGGAAGATGAGGGATACGTGGTGCATGATGAGATTGACGAAGAGGGATTACCAGGGGACCTTGAAGAGGAGGATCAGGATGTAGGAGTCGAGGGAGCAGAGGTGGAGGACGAAGACGACAAAGATCATGAATGACTTTTATAGTCTGTGTGTGACTTCTTGACCTGAACATCTGTCCGGACCAGTCGATGACCCCCGCAGTCCCATTCAAAGTTCAGTTTAATTGGCAGGCATCATAAGAACTATTCACACCCGCTCCCATCATTTTTCAGTGAGCTTTTGTCAATTTCTTTTTTTCCGTTAAAGGAATAGTTCCACATTTTGGGTACTACTGTTATTCACTTTCTTGCTCAGATGAAAAAAGTCAAATAGTTGCACTCTTGTGTTGTGTACGTCTACCAAGTCTCTTCGGAGATGTTGGCAGGCTTCTTTCTGGACTTCTCCGAGGCCCTGGCCTGTGGTGTCCTCTTTACCAGTCTTACTGTTAAACCAGTCACCTTCCTGCATTAGCTTTGTACTTACTGCAGCCATGAGTGGTTTTGATCTTTTCATTTCAAATCTGGGAAGAAAGCAAATAACTGTATTTTTGCAAGTGTCCGATCTATTCCTCTGAATATTTTTGTTGTGCCTTTTTGTTAAAATTGTTCTTAACTTAGATTAAGTTGTTTAGAATTGATTAAAAGGTCACGAGTATTAATAATGTGAAGTTGTGTACTTTTGTTCTTCAGAGTTTACACAAAGCTATAGCATTCAGTATTGATAATGGTGAACCGATGATTTTCCAGCCGTTTGGTAAACACTAAAACAGGATGGACTTCTTATTCTACACACAGGTTAAATGAATGGCCTGTCTGTTGAATAAGCCTGGAGCATCCTGAACATCACATTCAGAATAGGTATCAGTCATGTAACATGTTTGCTTGGTTTTGAGCAAAAAATAAACTCGGTGAATAAACCATTCTTATACTGTTTTATATCAACGCTATTATTGATGCTTTCAAGATAAAGTCGGGGGAAGAAAAGCTTAAACGGCAGAAAAACTGCTTTTTAATACCAAGATTCTTGTGCTGCTCCCCTGAATGCTTTCTCACTGTCCTGAAAACGCTTCACTGCTGCCGTCGGCTATCCAACCTCTACTTGTTCTCATAGACTCAAGTAGGTCCACCAAGACCGAACAGCTGAATGCAGCAGTGAAGCATGCTGAGGAGAGCATTAAGGGTACAGAATGAGAATCTCACAGCTGGGGTTGCTCAAATTGAATCTCTGAATACCAAGAAACAAGCAGAGATGAAGCAGCTTGGGACATCGTTGTATCGCCTTGAGTGTCAACGAGAGGACAAGAACATCAACAAGAACAAGATCACACTGATAAACGTGAGCTGTCGCAAAGAGTGGGCGAACTTGAGAAAATAAAAGCCAACTGGTTATGAGTAATAGGCTAAATTAGTGATATTAAATAAAAATGAAGAAAACGTAAGGAATGTTATAAACCAGTGATGCATGACAAGTCCAGTTCAGGCTTTCCACATCTGTGTGTCTGCGAGAGTACATGACACCTGAATGTCATCATCCACTTCAGTCTGCGAGGATCCATGTGATCCCCTCCGTGGACGTCTGCCTGCAGCCCAAATTTTGTTACCGAGTGTGTGAACTGAGCGGCATGTGCTTCCTCTCTTCCTCAACAATTTCCCTGAGGTTCTACCAAAGGGATCAATAAAGTTCTATCTATCTATCTCTTTTAAAGTCCACATTGGTCCAGCAGAAACCACTAATTGGTCTTAATAATATTCAACCACACTCGCCACTGTATGAAGATAGAAGAAGTACATTTTAAAACATTTCTGCAAAAAAATTCTGGGATGTCATACATTTGTCACAATAAATGAATAACCTGAATCCCAAGGTATTAAATGTTTTTTTTTTTTTAAAAAGACACTAACATACTGGCTGTCTAATAAACCTCCCAGTGTCATCGACAGCTTCACTCAGCCACTGATGTCTGAGGAAGAAAGTTTAATATTGAGGTTTATCTTTGCTTTTGGTTTGTAGAGATGAAGACAAGTGAACATGTAATTATATTCACTATTTTTGGTACAATTTTCCTAACTGGTTAAGTCTTCAGATAATTCAGGGAACCTATCAGCTGTTGTCTGATGAGCTACCATGATCAGAAATATGTGTATTGTTTTAAATAAAATACATTATATAATGTATTTAAACTGTAGGCAATGGACATGTTTATTTACAACTTTTAAAAAAGCAATTTGCATATACTTCAGCCAATTTAATGTCCTGGGCTTCAACAGAAATCTGTGTATTTTAAATCTTAGAAATGATCCATAAAATGAAGCCTTCAGTTGTTTTACTATCAGCCAGCTGCACTCAAAAACTCACATTTTTGGTTGTAACCAGGTTTTTGATATATTTTTTTTTTTGGTATTATTAGTAGTAAAAGCAGATATTTATCATTTGAAAAATCAAAAGTGCCATCCCCTTTAATTGTCATGTCATTACACCAGGGCAGATTTACTGTACCGTTAGCCACCTCGCTAACGTTAGCTGGCTGCCTACCAGTTATTAAATATTAAATAAAAACCACTCGCCCTCCTCTACCACCACCATGGTTCCAGATTGTATTTTTTACAGTGAAATGAGCTTAACATAATGTTGTTATTACAATGTATTTTTAAAAAAGGAGGTGAAGTGTTAAATCACCACCATTAAATTCTGCTCAGAATTTGCTTTGCAAACCTCTGACTGCGAGAGAAAGATCTAGAAGGTTGGACCTCCTTCACCTCACTTACTCATGAGGTGTTTGTTGTTAATGAAACTTTCCTGTAGATGGTGACACATGTGCCGTTTGTTTCCAAACTTGAATCTTCTCAATGTGACTGCAAGAGAAAGCTCTGGAAGGTTGGACAACATACAAGCAGCTGCATGAATGAACCAGCGGCTGCATCAGAGTCACCCGTCGAGCACCAAATCAACCATTAACTACCTTTTTGATGCATGAGCAACACAACTTTGTGTTTGCAGGAACAACCCAGCACTTTTTTGGGTGTATAATACGAAAATAAATTGATTCCATTCATCAATTATCTATATACGCTATATATATATACAATGGCTTAATCCTCACTAGGGTCGCGGGGGGCTGGAGTCTATCCCAGCTGATTTAGGGTGAAGGCAAGGGACACCCTGGACAGGTCACCAGTCTATCACAGGGCTTACAATCGAAGTTGAGGACTATTTTGTAAAAACATTTGAGAAATTCAGGGTAAACTTCTAACCTAAAACATTTGTTGACCGCGTGTGACCAGTTAATCCTTAGAAATGTTTAAATCCAGAGCCCTGGAAAGAGAGAGTCGTGTCATATCCATTCACTCTAATGGACCGTTGCGTTCCTTTTTTTTTTTTCAGTTATTTTTTTGGCCTTTTTGCCTTTATTCGACAGGACAGTAGAGAGTGAGTGAGTGAGTGAGTGAGTGAGTGAGTGAGTGAGTGAGTGAGTGGGGAGACGAATGGGGGGAATGACCTGCAGCAAATGGCCATGGGATGGATTTGAACTCACAGCAACCCACGTACAGGGACCATAACCCCTGTACGTGGGTTGCCAGCTCAACCAGTTGAGCCATAGCGGCAGCCCTAATGGACCGTTTCTTTTACAGCAAATAAATACAGCAACAAGTACCAGCAGCACTGTTTTTCCCCCTCCATCTCTATTTCTTGCTGTCTGTCAGCACAAGAGCCAGAGGAGGATTCAACAGAGCCTGAAGACTCCTGCAGTGAGACTGCAGCGTCAGCCTGCAGCCCAGTTCCCTCTTCCTGAAATCTAATAAATGAAACATATATCTTTCCAGTCGTGTGGTCTTTGTGAATATATTCAGATGTACTGTTTGAATAAGATTACCTTGCATATTTTTGGTCGCATATTTTTCAGCCGCTGTAAAACGACTCTTTTTCTCCACTGGGGAAGCCAAACATTAAAAAGGACAAAGGGATCAAAGAACACAAACAAACTTGGTTCATTAGAGATATAGTTAATGGCTTTATTGCAGTGAGTGTATAGTAAAAAGACGCGATTTAACGCACCATTTTTAACAGCAGGTTTGTGCACATGCAATAGAATTATCTTCCTTTCTCAAACAAAAAATGGACAATAAAGTTGTTACAAACGTGAATATATTGTACATCAGTGTTTACCAGTAAGTGCATCAAAAGTGTAAACAAAATAAACTTGATTCCTCTTATATGTGATGAGCTTCCTGAGACAACACATTTATCACACTACTCCTGGTCCATTGATCCACTGACACCTGTTGGGTTTGGAAAGTCATTAAGATTACACTGATCATGTAGTAAATTATTAGGACGACTTAAGCCTAGATTATCATGCAATTCTTGAAAACGCAGCAAATTTCTTGTAGAAAATTGATCTAATCTGAACATTCCTTCCCTCTCAATATATACCTAAACAATAGCACGTGATTGTTCTTGACTACCATACAAGCTTCAGAACGTAATAAAAATGATTTAAAGCAATAAACGACAGTGTGCTCTTACTATGTTGATTTTAACCTACAATATGTCTACAATGCGTTAACAACAGCTAATCCTGAAATACTGCTAAAGTTTACTTGTTAAAAATGCACACTGATGTAATTAGATACATGCACATGTCAGTGTGTTCTATAAATATTGTAAATTAATTCTTTTATTGACTAGTAATGACCAAAAATCGCAGTCCTGTCTCTCAGATTCAAATCACCTGCTGAGAACTTTTGGGAACTTACTGACGTTTCCTGTGTCTCGTGACCATCAAACATTTTGGACCACTGCTGTTGTGACTCTGCCTTCCAAGTGTTCTGGTCAAACCTTTTGCAGGACTGCAGCAGTGAAACCTCAAGGTTTAGAAATGTGACAATAGCAGTAGTTTTGTTGCAACTATGCCACCTAGAGGAATTTCATCCCAATGAAAGTCTAACCACTTAAGGACTTGAAAAGGTCTCACAGGTTTGGACACATACGAGGCTAAAAAAAAAAAAACACGACTCCACAAATAAATTCAATCGTTTATTGAACTTCTTTTTGGATCTCAGGCCTCAGCAGATCCAGATTGTTAAAAAAAAATATCCAGCCTATGTGAGGTGGTAAATTAGCTGCTTGTCAGTTATTGTTGCACAGTACCCTGTAGGCCCAGTAGTCTGCTGATGAAACAGAGGAGGCGCAGAGCAGGGATTTGGCTGACTGCAGCAGCAGGGACCAAACTCAGGGGACAACAGATGTGATGCTGAAAACCCCACACCATCCAACAGACACCCTCAGCGCTCTGCAGTACAGTCAACTGTGCTTAAAAGAAACGCTCATTAAAAAAATACACACACTTCCCCAATCAATTACACAGAGCTGACCAACAGTGTTTAATTAATTCATTTTGAATATTACCAAATCAAATGACAATTAAACTGCAACTGCTTACCCCTGGAACTTTCACATGCACTGTTTGGAAACCTTCAGGAAATGGACAGGGAGCATTGAGTACTTTAGTAATTCTATATTAATATATTAAATAAGTTTTCCACAAACCTGAGACGCCTGAGAACCAAATGCTGGGAAGTAACTAAGACTCTACAAAGAAGATAGAGGGGAAGAAAATAACTTAAACGCAAATTTAAAAAAACAAAAAACAAAACCATAAATAAATAAATAATATATCAACAGAAGACTACTAAATAAATAAAATCACAATTATTAATTCACTTGAACGCTTAATTGAATGCTGCTCACACTTTATACAGACAACATATGGCTTTATGTTGATTAATTTGCATGTAAATATACAATGTAAAACATTTATAACCAATTATTCTCGTATTTAATGTTTTTCTGAACAACCATCCAGGGAACGTTCTCTAAACATCTCTAAACATCCCCCATAAATTGCAGACTGAACACTAAAGACAGGTAAACACGTACTTCTGTGGTGATGACCTGAAATAAAAACATGCTGAATGCGGATAGTTTCATTCTGGTTACTTACGTTTGCGTTTATGTTAAACCAAATGGATCAATGAGATAATCTGCATGACAAACAGACAAACAGCGACCTGTTTGTTGTCCGGTTGAAATCTTTGCGCGGCGTTGCATGATGCTCCGCGGGGAGGGAGAGGGGGAGGGGCGGAGCTCTACGTGACACTTCGGCTGACAGACGTTCGGACCGCCCCCGTGCGTCTGACGTCACCGACGTCGAACGGGACTGTTTGTTCTGGATTTGGGGCGAGGAAGGTCTGCGAGCGCTGACACCCGACTGAAGAAGGTAAAAATAGCATTTACTGCCTTTGTGTGGATGACATTGGTACACCAAACGAAGGCATACAACCTCGGGGATCCGGTAAAAGGTTTACAATCGGCGTCGGTGGCGTATTTCCCGCGCTGTCAGTGAGCGCTTCGGCAAGCGGAGCATGAGCTGTCTTCGCAGGCCTTGCACCGGTTCGGGCACACGAGATAGATGATTTTTTTTATCCTTTAAGTGTCTGCGATTTGGTGTTATTGTGCATATTCCGTGTTGTATCTTTCTTCTCTCGGTACTTGTGTTGAGGTCCTGTCCGTGGCGGTGGACACTCCGTGCTGTCAGTGTGCACGTTAGCTGCAGGTCGGTATCATGCTAGCCAGCTAGCTGCTAGGCTGTTTGTTTGTAGCCCCGTAGGCCGTATTCGTGACATAAGTTACGTCCTCTCGGCAGCGTAGTTTACGCGCGATGGCGCAGGAGCTCATGTGAAGCGCGGCGTACGTCATTTCGAGAATATCAAACCCGTCCAAGTTGTATTCTGAAACGCCGTTTGCGTGCGGAGCTGTCACTTGATCACGGTGGACATGGCGATGTACTGACATGGAAGGTTAGCAAGGAAAAGGAGCGGAGCAGAGCAGCTCTTCAGCGAACTGTTGCTTTGCGTTTGTTATCTGTGCCAGTCAACGGTGTTTGTCACACGTCCTTAGCTTAGTTAGTAGCAAAATGTCCGAAACATTTCGTAGATACGTCAATTTAGCGGTGTACTTTCGCTTTACTGGCCGGGTGTTTGGCCTTGTATTCAGATCAGCTGCTGTGACATTGCTTCGCTCCTCCTCCACTGTAAATACTGAGTGCACGCAGTTCTATAGTATCGACAGTCACCGGCTCTTTGATTAGATTATCAGGAGATGATTGGATCTCTCAAGTCTCAGACAACAGCTACAGACTGCCCTTCAGTTAGAATTGATATAAGTAATCATTGAATATTACTACATAATAATACTAAATTACAATAAGGCTCATGAAACAAGTTCATAAAATGACTCTTTAGGGTCAGATATGCATGGTAGATTCTTGTGGTACAAGCCTGGAAGGTATTTTGTAACAGCAGTTTTATTATTGTGTTATATTATATTAACCAGAAAAAGTCTAGATTAAGATTATCAATCACTTTTACACGAGTGTCTTGGCCGAGACAGGCAGCAGCACAATTTAACATGTTACAGAGATACATAACAAATGAAATAAAGTTTACAGAAAGATTAAGAGCACATTACAGTTTCATAGCATTGCAAAAATATGTGTCACAAGTCATCAGTGTCAGTGATCATCCAGGGCCAACGTGAGTCAGTCATAACATTTACATTTAAACGGGGTTGCAGGATATTGGAAAAAGTGACATAGCAATATTTGGTTTTTCTGTGATTTGGTAAATATAGCGAGGGTATATCTTGCCAACTGCAAGATACATTCTGTGGTCAAAGCACTGCAGCCTGGACCACATGTGCACGGCAGCAGGCTTCATCATGTTCACCACATTGTCTGTTGTTGTATAGACTTGACATCTCTCGCTGGCATCCCAAGCAGCCACTGTTTCTCTCATTCCCGTTGTTCTCACTTGTACGATCATCCAGGAAAAATGCGGTTTGCAATCAGCGACTTTTCGGTCAGTCCTTATTTATAAAGTAGACTTTAAGACTTACGGCTGTGCTGTCTGCTGTAGCTGCACAATATTTCAGTTGCGACAGCTCTGTTTCAACCTGTGCCTTGTGTTTTTTCAACTCTGGGACAGCGACGTGAAAAAATAGGTGCGTGATGGAATTCCATATCACTTAATAATGTTGTTCGTGAGGTGAAAAGTTATCACATCAGTCATTTTTTTGTCTCTGCTTTCTCATGTGGGGTAGCACAGGCAGAGACATCTAAACTAGTGTTTTTGCTTTTTAGATCTGGCTTTGCACTTGTCGTACAGTGATTTGTGATGCTGATTTAAATGGTCAAACACATTAGTCGTGTTGCCTAATGTGGTGCCAACAGCTCAAAGACTCTGTCGACAACTTTTGGTCAATGTCACCCTTTCGGTTGCTCAAATATTTCCATACATCTGGCGTGCTTCTTTTTGCAACCAAATGTTCCTTTTTGGTGCACAGCAAGATGTTCCTCGCTCATTTTGCTGTGCACATGTCGAACCTGCACGTCAACAAACAGACTTCTCTCGTAGATTAGTCATGGAAGATGAGAGCTGTGCCAGTTTTCTTTTTGTATCAAGCAGCAGTGTTTGAGGTAATTTGTCTTAATTCACGTTGCAGGGAGTGTTAAGAACTATTAGGCACGCACACATCATAGTGTTGATGCTGAAACAGTATATCATGCAGTCCTATGTCCACGTTTGTCTGCTTCAAGTCTTCTAAAGTTGCTTTGAATTAATTTAGTCAAATCAGTCACCTTCTGGTGTTATGTTTTTGTTCCCGTTTGTCTTTCAGGAGAGAGAAACACTCCTAACATGATGCAGATAACAAGAATTTCAAAATGTGCAACATGGAACAGTAGCATAAAACAGGCGTCTGTCTTTTAGCGTTGTCAAGCATGCTTTGATACAGGAATAAACCTGTTAATACAAAGATCGAGGTCTTCTGGTGGAGGAAAGGCAGCAGACATCAGAGGATACTAAATGTCACTTCACAACAGAGAAGTTGAGGATCTGGAATGAGGCAGATCGGCTCACTGAGATATTTATGTGTATTTTTTAAAACTGCTTTTGAGCACCATGAAAAGACATCTGAGTTTCAAGGTCAGAGTTTGGCGTATTCAGCAATAAAATCATGCGCATTACATTGCTCCATCCTTGTCTTTTGGCTTGTTTTGAAGTTAGAGTAATATACTGTAAATCCACACAAGATAAACTATAGCTCAAGAGATCTATGAAACAACCTATAATTTGGGTGCACATAAAGCTAGGTGACACATCCTGAGGTCATTGTTGTCGTTAGAAGCTGCTTCTTGTGCTGGATGTTTGCTGGGGAATGAAATGAGAACATGTCAGTACAATCTATCGACGATGTAAAATGTCCTGGAGGGCAGATTTTTGGCAAAATCAAAGTAAGCCGTTAAGGGTGTTGTGCTCGCAACTTCTCTACAAAGGTGCAGAAAGTGCAGACTGGAAGCAAGGTGAAGGGTTATGACAGATACCCATAAGGTACAAGTACTTGTCTGACAAAAAGTGGTATCGGTGCATTTTTAGTTTTGACAGCAAAGAAATTATTGTTAGGGAGACAAAACTTGGTCGAGAGACTGTCTCAGGCTCACAAGTCTGTGCTGTGTAATGAGTAAGTCTCATTTCATCTGTACAGTTTTAGACTCTGGGAAAATATGCTACATTTTCCTTAATTGGAGCAGATTAAGTCAAGAGTTTGTAGATGCATTTCAAATTCTTTCCTTTCAAATTTCCAACATGCCATTCCGATAGTATTAAAAAGCCTCCTCCTGTACGCCTGTACCATGGAATCTGACCAGAGCTTATTATGGCGTAGCATGATCACACTTTCACCTGTTATCAAATTCACGTGTGATTCTTTGTCCTTCGTTTTAATCGGCGTCACTCCTTGATCTCTGTCTTACAGGCGTGACGCTCGGCTCTCTGTCCCTGTGTTGTGGTTTCTTTGGCCCCACAGCGTGTCACTGGCAGACATCCCGAGTTACCTCAGGAAATTGTCGCCTCACCACCTGAGATATGATCACACAATTGGATTAGACCACAGCTGCAAGGCAACAAACATGTAAGTTGTGATGAAATAATTGGTCCACTTAAAATTGGTGTAAGCAGATGCAAGGGTATGATCATGTCTGCAAGTTGTCAACAGCCTTTTGACCTGTGCTTGAAAGGTAAAGACAGGTCAAAATGTGCAACTGGTGAGCTCACCCTTTCTATAATCAGGGCCTTAGTGGACCTTTTCTTGATAATGTGAAAAAGGCATCATTTTCCCTCTGTCTGCTACAACACGGGCCAGAGTCAATGGCATCTGCCAGAAAAATAGGCATCAGTGCAGCGGGACACCACAGAAATATTAGTCAGGTCGTCACATTAAACTATTGTTATTATTGTTTTTAAATGAGTTGGACTGGGTCATATCTGATGTCTAATCAAGTGCTTCTCCAGACTTCTTACCAGAACAAGTACATTAAATGTAAATTTGAAATTGTAACACCATTCAGTAGATGGGCCTCATGTAAAAAAACATCACAGGTTTTATCTAGGACAGTAACTATAATAAGGTGCTACTCATAAATTGGACTGATAACAAGGTTGTCATTGCATTCGTTCCTACAGCTGTATGTAAGCTTTATATATAACATACATGTTAAGGTTACTTTAAAAAGGGAAAGTGAAAGCATCTTGGCTTACTAATTTTCTAGCAATGTATTTCGCAAACTGGTTAGTATTTTACTGTGAAGACACCACTTGGCTCCGCACCACCATCAGCTCAGCTGTGGTGCATACTCTGCTGCATGTGCTGCAGACAGTGCTGAGAGTGTTTTCTGTTAAGAAAAATCATATTGTCGTATATTGCACAACATACATGCTGATACAGATATATCTTTTATAGGCCAATGTTGGCTGATGTTTGCCGACTGATATAACAGTCGGGCGCTAAAAATTAGTTCTAATTTTGGCTCAGAGTGTTGAGCTGCTTTGTGGTTGTTAAGTGTTTCAGAGTAAGTAAATACGAAGTAGTTGCTTATAGAGCTGGATAGCAGCACAAGTCTGTAATGTGTTTACTTTGTCTGATTCTATGATATGGGTCAGAAAGGTTGTAAGTGAACAGTCTTTGCAGTATTTGATCTTAAGTAAGAAATCAATATTTACTCCAAGAGGCTGTCAGCTAACAGTTCGTAGGTGATGTGGAATGTACGCTTTTGTTTGTGCATGCAAACAGAGACACCGTGTTCTCAGCGTCTGATCTCTGTTTAAGGGCAAACTGCAACGAGGGAGAGAATGTGGAGTCCATAAAGACAATCAGCTGCAGAGTTTGACTCACAGCTGTCAGAGCAGCTGAAGTGCCAAAGATGGGCTGTTGTGTGTTTTCCTTGTGGGGGGGAAAAAAGTCGACCTTTTGCCAAGTAGTCTCCGTCTCTCACACAGGGGTCTTTGAAGCTGATGGAAAATGCAGACACTGGTTTCTGACAGTGAGACAGATAATTGAGACTGACCTCGTAAGATGCAGCTTGATATTTAGTCAGTGTGATAGTGGTTTGGTTTCACATTTGAGGTGTTAAAAATGATCACTAATGCGAGATGTATTCTGGGAAAGTTGAGCCAGTGTTGGCGGCGCAGAAATAGCAACGACAGCGGAGATGACTCTTTTGTTGATCGTCTTTTCAGAGAGTCGCGTGAGGAGTGTAATGGCCTGAGGGGGGTCCCCCCGGTCCCACCTGCCCCTGCCAGGTCCAATCTGCCTAAACTGTCTGCTCAGCCACTGCAACCCACCACAGCGATGGGAGACGGACTGGAGGCAGGCAGCAGCCAGAACCCTCCCTCCGCCCCACCACCTCTCCCCTTCAACCCTCCACCCCCTGAAACATGGAACCCCTCCAGACCCAAGCGACAGACCAACCAGCTACAGGTAGCATGATTTCCATTTGTGTGTTGACACATGTAAACCGTGACATCAGTTTGAAGGTTTTGTTTTGTATTTGTTTGTTTGCTCTTTTTCAGTACCTGCTTAAAGTGGTGTTGAAGACATTATGGAAACACAACTTTGCATGGCCCTTCCAAGCTCCTGTAGATGCCATCAAACTGAATTTGCCTGTGAGTCACATGTTTGTGTGTTTTTATACGTCTTTAATCAAAGTACATAGTCCATTACGCACAGACAGCATTAAACTAGCCACCAAATTAGTATCACATGCAAAGCAGGACACAGTAGCACAGGTGGATGTGCCACCTGGCAATAAAATCAAATGTGCCGCTGACCTTTGGGCTTTGCTTGTCCATGAAAAGTAGCATTTCTCACAAACTCACTTCCTCATTGTGCACATTGTGACAACTTTCTTGACCTCTTTGATTGAAAACACTTCTTCTTCTGTGGTCTTGTAGATGTCACAGTCATCAAGGAGAAACCTAGTACTACCTGTTCTCTCAAATATGAAAGAAAAATTACTTCACCTCCTGAAACTTGCACCGTGTAGTGAAAATACACACAGAAACATCCAGAACCCAGAGCAGCACCCCAGTTTCACTTTCTATATGTTATAATATGCTTTTGGATCCTGTTAAGCAAGCTGGCCAGGCTGCAGTGCTTTAAATGTGTGCTGCAGGTAACAAATAAGATTTATGTGAATTGCAACTGCACCGCGGCAGCAGTGTGCTCTCGACTGAAAGGAAAGGATGAGAGTAGGGCTGAAAAATGTATCATATTAAAACATTTAATTTCAATATCAATAGTGATTATTGATCATTTTTAATGACCTCCTTTTAAGAAAGATGAGAGAATAAACGGATTTATTTTAACTGTACAAACCTTACTTACTTCGGGGTAAAGGGATGTGATGGGTTGTTTGTGAGTTAGGGAGAGAGCACACTTGAAGTTTGTTTAGGTTTATTTATAAACAGACCTGAAAAAAATCACTTTCTCATATTTTTAAATTTACGTTGGTCTAGATAATTCAATTATCTAATACTCTTTACCTGCTTTCCTTCCAAAAGGACTACTACAAGATCATAAAGATTCCTATGGACATGGGCACGATAAAGAAACGCCTGGAGAACAACTACTACTGGAATGCCCAGGAGTGTATACAAGACTTCAACACAATGTTCACAAACTGCTACATCTACAACAAGGTCAGACACATTAGATGTTCGAGTCACATATGGCTAAAATGAACAATATATTGTCAAACATTTCATCATTCACAATAAGAGAGAAGGCATCTATGCACCGAGCTTAATCCCTCTAATCATGGTCCTGTGTTTGTGTGTTTAGCCTGGGGATGATATTGTCCTAATGGCAGAGGCCTTGGAAAAGCTCTTTCTCCAGAAGATTACAGAGATGCCGCAGGAGGAGACGGAGATTGCTGTGGTTTCCAAGGGACGCAGAGGGGGCCGGAGGGACTCGGGTATGATTTCTGGGATGTAATATAGACCTGAAAATTTCAGCATAATAGGTCTTTATAACAGAGGTTGTAATTGTGGACATTGTTTGTGTACTCTGAAGACTTGGAGGAGCAGTTGCCATGAGTCAGTTGCAATGAATCAATTGCAACGACAAGTAAACGGTAGTAATCTAACCAGCCAGGCTTGTATGCACGGTCCTTTGTTGTCTGTAATGGTCCCACCCATTTGATCAGTCACACCTAGCGTGAAAGATTTTTTTTGTTAAACACGTTTTGGTTGCTTCATGCCCATTAAGTGTGTCCATGCCCACAGCTGAACATTTCGTAATTAGTCCAACAAGTTTAAAGTAAGAAGAATTTCTGGAGTTTTTGTTTCCTTGACCTCATCTTTCACATTGTGTATTCTTCCTTCCAGGTATGATCACAAAGTCAGATTCAGGCCAGGACTCCTCCTCCCCCTCCACCACCCCACATACACGAGGCTTTTCGTCCCCTTCAAGCACCCCACACACCAGAGGTGCGCCCGCCCCTCCAATTCCCCCTGCCCTAGCCCAGCCCCTGGTCCAGCCACTGGTCCAGCCCCTGGTCCAGCCCCTGGTCCAGCCACTGGTCCAGCCACTGGTCCAGCCCCTGGTCCAGCCACTGGTCCAGCCACTGGTCCAGCCCCTGGTCCAGCCTCTGGTCCAGCCTCTGGTTCAGCCTCTGGTCCAGCCTCTGGTTCAGCCCCTGGTCCAGCCTCTGGTCCAGCCTCAGCCCCCTCGTGTGCCTCCTACACCCACCAATCATGCATCCCATCTGGGACACCAATTCCCCCTCTCAACTCCAGACGTCCTGGCCCAAGGCATGACCTCTGTTCCCCCTCCAGCTGTGACACACCCAGGCCTCCATCCAGCCCCCATGCTGCAGAGCTCTCCTGCCCTCATCAAGGTAAGAAGAGATCAATGTCCATTCTTATTACACACAGGCTGATTTTCAATTTCTAACCTGCAATCTCCTTTGTTTCAATAGCAAAGGAAAAGCCAGAAGAGGAAAGCTGATACCACAACACCCACAGCCAACGACCAGCTCAGTGAATCATCTCCAGTCTCTGCAGAGACTCGGCCACGCCGAGAGAGCAGTCGCCCATCAAAGCAACCCAAAAGAGAGGCATCACAGCCGGACTCTCAGCATCACCTGGGAGGAGGTCTGGAGACGGGCGGGACAGTTACACCGAAACGTCAGGAGCAGCTGCGTTCCTGTGCACGCCTCGTCAGAGAGATGCTGTCTAAGAAACATGTATCATATGCCTGGCCTTTTTACAAACCTGTTGATGTAAGAGCTCTTGGCCTCCATGACTACCATGACATCATCAAGCACCCCATGGATCTCAGCACCATCAAGGTGATTTTATAAGAATAGGGGGCCAACAGATATAATAAACATCTAAAGCTACTAATAAATTTGAATTCACTTCAAATTTGATCATGGTTACAATCTGCGTACAGCCGTGTCCATCCCCCACACCCATTATATTTGCCTTTTTTCATAAAGGCTAATGTACACATCTGCGGGGATTATTATTTGAAATGTTGGAAGATCTGGATAGCCTAGACCCTTAAAAGAAAGATACAGCATGTATGGCTAGACCTTGTAATGACCAAGATAAGAGCTTAAAAGTAGAGGTAGGGAAATTACCTTGAAAGTAGCCTCGGGTACATTTGCTTCAGTAATAATCTTTGTATGCCACTTTTCAGCTTGTCAACTTGCATTTCTCAGTGCAAACACTAACTAGATTTTAATTACTGGAGTGCATTTGTTTATTTGTCTCTTCTAGAAAAAACTAGACAACAGAGGGTACAGAGACGCCCAAGAATTTGCTGCAGACGTCAGGTTGATGTTCTCCAACTGTTACAAGTACAATCCTCCAGACCATGATGTGGTCGCCATGGCACGCAAACTACAGGTAAACACATCTCACATACTGACACACAAACCAGAATTAATGTTATATGTACAGTGTTTATGTGTGTGAGTGTGTGAACACTTTTCTAAACCTGAATAAGAGCAAATCCTTCCCGGTAAAGTGCAGCGTGTTAGAAAAGCATGTTTACATCCAGGGTTTTTAGAATGACATTTTCAGCGGTCGCTACTTTTGCAGGTTTGGTAAGTTACATGTCAGTATCTGTTACGCTGGCTGATCACAAAGAAAGTGTGTTGGCATGCTTCTCAAAATTTAAGACCAGTATATTTAAAAGTCAGTGTTGAGTGAGGTGTTTTGTTATTTTTCAAACCTCAGCTATAGTACTGTGCCAAATCCCGAACATAGTTTCTTATTAAATGTACAACATCAACACATGTTAAAACATTTCATGTTCTAAAAGGACATTTTTGAAACACATGTTGTTTTGTCTCATGTCTGTAAAGAATATTTCTGGAATATATTTGTGGTTCTCGTCGAGCTCACAGTGCCTCCCGCTGTCCTCTCCCGTCTAATAGGACGTGTTTGAGATGCGTTTCGCCAAAATGCCTGATGAGCCAGAGGAGCCTGCCCCTGTTCCCACCCCATCGTCGGCCCTCCACCCTGCCCCCTCCACTCGACAAGCCCCGCCTCCTTCTGCTGTCTCGGAAGACGACAGCTCTAGTTCCTCCGAATCGGAGTCCTCAGGAGGAGACTCAGAACACGAAAGGCAACAGCGATTGGCTGAGTTACAGGAACAGGTTAGAGGATGGAAAATGAAGGGGGAGGGAGGCTTATGAGACACAACAGGTGGGTGGGCCATGCAGAACAGCTTTGCCGAACATGGGTGAATGCTGGAACACAGAGAAGCAAATGCACAGATTCGAGAAGTTTTTTTGTTTTTGTTTGTTTTTCCTCTCTTAAGACCACAACTGTGTGTGTTTGTGTTGTCTAGCTTAAAGCTGTCCACGAGCAGCTTGCAGCACTCTCCCAACCGCAGGCCAGCAAGCCCAAGAAGAAAGAGAGAGAGAAGAAGGAGAAGAAGAAAGAAAAGCACAAGAAAAAGATGGGGGCAGAGGAACCTGTGGAGACCCCTCCCCTTGCGATGCTTCCGACCACGAAGAAGAACAAGAGCAGCAAGGAACCTATCACCGTGAAGAAGGAGAAGAAAAAGCCCGGGTGGGTTTTACAGAAGTCCTAAACTAAGTGATGTTATTGTAGCTGCATTAACTGGAACTAATCTAATCATTTCTCAATCGCAGTAAGAAAGAAGGAATTAAAAACAGCCGCCCAGCTGTTCCCCCTCAGCCCGGGCCAACCCCTCTTGTCCCCTCAGCCTCTCTAGAAGCAGAGGATGACATAGGTGTGTATACGACGAAACAGATGTGTCAAGTAGGAGTTTTGCTTATATGCCAGGCACAGATGAAGTCAAATTATCTTTAAACAGAGCTCCAGTGTCAATCCACTGCAATGCCTTCCTCTCCAGATATATTCGGAGGCGTGTCCACTGACAGATGCAAGCCGATGTCATACGAGGAGAAGCGCCAGCTGAGCCTGGATATCAACAAGCTACCCGGTGAAAAACTGGGCCGAGTCGTGCACATAATCCAAACGCGTGAGCCTTCGCTAAAGAACTCCAACCCAGACGAGATTGAGATTGACTTTGAGACGCTGAAGCCCTCGACGCTGAGAGAGTTGGAGAAGTACGTGTCCAGCTGCCTCCGGAAGAAGAAAAAACCATCAGGTGAGCCTGTTTGTATGTGAGCTCAACACTTATTTTAAAGGACTGTCGTGCCACTTTTGTAGTAGATTTCCATGTGAGTGTCATCCCAGATGTGAGGGTTGGGTTTTAGCATTCATAGTTATACAAGCAGCAGAGGTTCTTCAAGATCCCTTATAAAGACCAGTCGTACCTCAAGTTGTAGAAGCATCTTTACTTTGAATTCTAAACTTTCACTTTAGAATCTTTACCAACAAACTGCCTGTTGGTGAAGATGTCATCAAAACAAAAATAGGCCTAACTGGCCATCGTTAATAGGCGTGTGCTTAAAGTTTTCACAATACACTTGAGCTTTGTCTTGTAAAAGTCATTTTTAAGCAGGGCTTTAGAGTGCCACCTTTTTGGGTGGAGATGCGACCAAAAATCTGTCAGTCACGTCTCACCACACATCATCACAAGTAACAACAAGTCGGACAGCCAGCAACATGCGTTACAATCACAGGACAAAATGCCACCAAAGCATGGCTGTGAATGTTAATAAAAAACAAAAAACACGCACATCTAAATTTGTCCCACGCCATGACAGATGTAGTATGATGGTGCCAAAGAAGAGCCCCCCATCGTTCCTATGAACAAGAACAGGTTAAAGTCCATCATTTAAATAATGTGTTGAGAACATGAATGAAACCTACAAAAAAGGTGAGACTCTCAGATGTACTATGCGTAGTGAAAAGGTGCAACGTAGTAATGTCCTGCGGCCCCTAAAGGAAAAAGTACGTTTAAGGCATGTTTCAGTGTTAAGGTGAAGGTTAGGGTTAGGGTTATGCAAGTAGCAATTATGTTTCAGATAAAGTAAGTTCTCCTGGAATTTTGGGGTAAATGTAAATACATTTTAGTTTAAATAATGATTTAGGCTCCAGTTATCCAACAAACATGTCACTGGCAATAATGGACAGTATAGTAATTAAGTGTCAAACCTGAACTATAGACGCTGTGCTGTTCTGACGGGTTTTACGTCTCACTGAATCGGCTCGCTCACCAAATGGGATGTAACCGGTTCTGACTTTAACACGTCAGAGGTTGTATATCTAACGAGGCTCGTCCGTCTGTCGGTTTTTGATTGGAGTAATATTGTGAATATTGGATTCATTTTCTGAATGTTGTGGATGTTTGTAGCAGCAGAGAAGCCTCTGGAAATGGCCAATGTGACAAAGATGAAGACGGGATCCTCATCTTCAGGCAGCAGTGATTCCTCTGATAGTGAAGACTCTGAGAATGGTAATGTTCCCACACCACGGTGCACCAGCGTGTCATACTATAATGACTACCAGCTGTAATGCTTCAACATGTGCTTCCTCATTTCTTATACTTGTGTGTCTCCACCTTCGTCTCTCACCGCAGGGCTGGTTCCCAAGCAGAAGAAGACCTCAACTAACAAGGACACCAAGAGACCGCACCACCAGTCCCTCAGCGGAGTGGGCCCCATCGCTCCTCAGCCTCAGACTCAGCCTCAGGTGGTTCAATGCAAACCACCACCATTTGTCCCCCCTCCCTCTGTCCCTGTCCCTGCTCTGGACTCGTCCCAGTTGTTGACACCAGGATTCAATCCTCTGGCCCACTTCATGAACCCTCACCTGACTCAGTCGAACACAGAGTCCAATGCAACCATTACTACTGCTGGTGCCCCCATCGCCTCTGGCCTCCTCAATGCAAACGCCCCCACCAGCCAGACGCCCAGTGAGACGCACCCCTTCCTCAACCAACATCCCATCATACCTTCTCCAGGTATGTAAACTACAGCAGCGCTCTGCTAGTGAATCTGTAGTTCATGTCAATGATCATTAATGTGAAAATGTTAATACTTCTGGACCTCAGAACTCGCCAGCAGATTTAAATGTCATATTGTCTTGAAAAAATCACCGAAATAGCACCATTTATAATAGAAACTGTAAAAACAAAGTGAATTGTCAGGATCCATCTATGACGTGGCATTTCGCTGGGACACTTTTAAGTTAATCCAAACCTAAAATCAGGCTATTTCATTAAAATGACTTAGTGGAGGAGTGAAATAATTGCTCACAAACTGCTTGGGGTTCAGGGGGATAACTGTTGCAGTTTATTTTCGTTCTTAATTTCAGGTTAACAGTTCATTCATTTTGTCTGTGAAAAGTCAGACAACAGAGACAAGTGCTCGTCACAGCCTCCCACGTTTCAATGCAACTCTGTTAAACTGCTCGTTTTGTCTGGTCATCACTCCAAAACCAGAATAAATAACTGCTTCAATGACAAAAACTTAGAGAAAACCCCTTTTTGTTGTACACATCTTTAATTTTGTTTTCTGTTTCCTCTTTTCTTTGTTCCAGCGATCCACAACGCTCTTCCCCAGCAGCCATCGAGACCTAGCAACCGTGCAGCACCGCTTCCGCCCAAACCCCCACAGCCTCCCCCATCCTCGCTCCCCTCCCTGCCTCCGTCATCCTCACCTCAGCTCCAGCCCTCCCTTCCCCTCACCCTTCCCCAGCCCGTCCACCGCCCTCGCGTCCCCTCGCCGACATCGCACGGCATCCTGGGTACCCTCTCGGCGCAGCCTCCCCAAGCCCTGCTGGAGGACGACGAAGAGCCAACGCCCACCAGTTCTGACACCCCGCCGCTCAGCCAGGTCCACACCCTCCTGCAGTCGCTTCAGCCCAGACCCACCCCGCAGACGCAGCCGCTGCACACGCATTCACCCGTGCAGGTGGCCTCCCAGCTGGCATCATCGATGCACACGCAGGTCATGACGACAGCCGCCCCGGCGCTGACGCAGAGACACAGCTCAGGCCACGCGCACATGCAGCAGCCGTTCCCACATACGCACACGTCGACGTCGCAGCAACAAAAAGGGGGGGTCCTGCAACAGAAGGTACAACAGTTGCAGCAGCATCAACAACAGCCATCACCACGAAGCAAAGCAGAGCCTTTCTCAACAGGTAAGATATCTTAATACTTAACGAACAGACTCAGAAACTTGTGACACCTGCTGTTGATTGTGAATAGGTTGCGCCCTCCCACTGGGCTTCATTGACTGACGCTACATCCACACTGGTAGATTTTTACGAAAACGATCTCCGTCCAGATGAGCATATGAACACAGTTTCAGAAATAATCATACGAGCACACCAAAAAAACACGCATCACGTGACCCGTCAGGTACACAGGGCATGCAGCGCCGGTGTAAGCACAAGGCAGGAAGTTGGTTGCTTAGTTAAAGAACTACGAAGGAAGAAGAGCAGCAGCATAAAGTAAGATCAGAGATTTCCCGAACTGCACAACAGCAGCTGCCATTAACATCAAGGCCAGCAACGTCTGCAGTTCTTTATCCATGGTGGATTCACCACCGGTAGTCAAGGCTACTGTCTTTGGTTTTTTCTGGAAAACAGCCATGAGATATGAGTGGAATGAATCAGAGAATGACACATACTGGTTTCCAAAAGTCTCCGTTTCTGCCTGTGCAGGCTAAAATGCAACCCCAGAGTTTTCTGACTAACACAGGGACCACAGCTTTTCCTCAGCTCTCTGTTTGGGACGTTGGGCGTGAACGTAGCACAAGTTGTGCATTCAAAAATTAGCACGTATTAGTGTGTATGAAGCACATTTGTATGCAAATTTCCGACAAGCTTTCACATCATATACGGCACCACAATGCCAATGTCACACCTGTGAACAAGTTTAAACAAGATCCAACAAAACACTTTATACTCATGGAAAATAACTGCAACACAAAACGAAGTCCTGCGTAGTCCTGTGTAGTGTTACATGCTAGCTGCGTCTTTTAAGAAGAGTTTGTAAGTTACTCGGTCAGGACAGCAGAGCTCAGAGCTATAGATTCACGAGAGGCCAGATCGTTACATGACCATAACACACTGGTTCCCAAACTGAACGTTATCAAAGAGATTAAAAAAATGAAATGAATGCAAGAAAAACGTTTAATATTTTCTGACTCTTTGAATTTAAAGGTTAAAAAAAAATCCACGTGATCAGTACCATTGAGGGTAAAACTTATGTTCACACTTGCAGTTCAGCAGAAATTATGCATTTTAGTTCTGTTTCGCTTCATGTTCACACTGGAATTTGTTTTTTTTACCATTGAACCAAATGATACAAAACAAAGTGTATATATATCAGGTCAGAACCTGATACTTAGAAAATGGATAAAGAAGTCAGAATAGCACCAAGATGTTCTTCTTTGCACACACAAATGAAGATATGCTGCGAAGAGACGGCAGTTCTGACGTCTGTACTGAACTGAAACGGACAACTTGGCTTCTGTGATGACAGTAACGAGGTTTGCTCAGGTACACACATCCTGGTTTTGGTTCAGTTAAGACGTCTGGGCCGGCCTGTGTTCACATTTGAGTCAGAGCTGCACTGGAGTGTTTTTGAAAGCAGACCAAGATTGACCTGTTCACAGGGTTTGGGTCCATCGTCCGGCGTGCACCAAGGTTCACATTCACACCTGTTTAACTTAAATGCACCAACAGAGCAATCGCAGCAGAGTTTGTTAAAATCAAACGAAGTGTTAACTCGGTACAATTACGTCTAAAAAACCAACCAGCCAAAAACCCTCCTGACATGAAAAGCTTTGCTACATGACTGTTTCTGGTCTGTTCCAGCTCCTGTTTTTAACTCTGCAATCGCAGGAAGAGGGCATTGAAACAGCAGCTGTGCTAAAGAGAGAAAGTCAAAACAGTATTAGAAACTTCTTACAATACAGTCATGGTTGAGTTTCTCTGGACTTGTTTGCCTTCAGCATCTTGCACAAAGTCAAACCAGCTTAAATATATATTGTGTCATACCAGTGTTTAGCCATAATGTGGAGCCTGATATCTTCCTTTAAAGGACCGCTGTGACCAGCAAGGCCACTCTTATGTGATCACTGGTCACAGGTGGAGAATTCGTCCTTTTGTCTTGGGCTGCTCATGTTGCATATTGTAGTCTGCAGTGGTGAACAACACTACTTTAGAGATTGATATTGTCCCTGCACACATGAAATTTGAAATCAGATTGAATGGTGGTGAGATGCAGTATCTTTCTCTTGGTGATTCTAGGTTGCCTGCGAGACAGCCCCTCTCCTCTGATGATGCATTCTCCTCAGATGCCTCAGTTCCATACAATGGGACAGCAGTCACCCTCACAGACCAAGAAGCATGTAAGCAATTCACCGGCGACTATGAATTCATGACTATAGGTGTCAGCCACACAAAATGTCCTCCGCATCACGTGCATGAGCTTGTGTTTTTAGACAGTTACAGTTTAGAGATACACAAGTTTGACAGAGAGAACTAATCCATTTAAATGTTGGAAATATAATTTTCCAAAAATTATGTTTTTTTTCCATCATGTAAATGTTCTGGTTTGTCTTTGTGTAGGACCAGAGGTCCAACCTGGTGGGGGTCAAAGAAGAGAAGCCTTCTCAGTCACCAGTACTGCCCCCTTCACCCTTCAGCCCTGTCATTCGTCAAGACACACACAAACCCGACAACAAACACAGTGAGTACAAGAGTATGTGGTATCTGTCTGTTATATCTGAAGCTTTAAAGGGTAACATTTACTTACAAGGAGAAAAATGAATTGCCCAAATGGCGGCGACTAAAGCAGATATTACAGCATGTTAGAATATTAACTGTCATATTCTCGGTTTCTCTGCTGTGGTAATCAAAGAGTTAAATGTTCAAACGCTACCCACAGTCACAGCCATGTCATGGTTGTGTTGGATTCAGAAAAGTATCTACAGCCACTTAATGGAAGCATCACTGTTTATAATCATCCGTCCAGCAGTCTGAAGGCCTTGTAGGAGATGGGATATGTAACATAGTGGTTTTATCAGTCTGTTAAAGTGACGGCATTCTGCTATTCAGACATACGTCACTTTTAGGTTGATGTTCCTCACAGCTTCATTCAGACATACCGACCACAGTGACAGAAAGAGACACAGTACGGATCCAATAGTTGTTATCCATAAATTGGACACGTGATGTATAATGCACTGATAAGCAAAGTACTTAATATAAGCCAACACTGTCCAAAAAAACAAGTTTATTTTTGATTTTTCAAACTGAGAAACTTCTGTCCATATGTTGTAATCTATCTACTAACTTCCCTACAGTAAAATAAAAAAAAAATACTCTCAACAGCTGTGATGGAGCTCAGGACTCAACGTGAGGATGGTTGTTATGTAACCAATGATTTACCTGCAGCTGACCAACTGTGACTCAGTGCGACAACTCACCTGTCTGAGGTGAAGAAGAAGCACACAGCGTGGCTAGCTGTTAGATCCCGATAAATCCCGTCTACAAGTCAAGGATTATTCTTATGTCATTAAGTTACCACATGCGTAAATGAGCGCAACTCTCTCAGTTTGAAGATGCTCAGATATGAACCCTGCTGCTGTCTGATGCTGCAGATGTTTAGTAAACTCAGAGGGAAGAATGTGGCAAACAGCTGGAGGCAACAAACGAGACTGTAATTATTGAGTCTCGTCCATCAGACCTGTTCTGTCCTCATCACAGTAAAGTTTTATTTTTATGGACATTTCAGGTTGTAAAAAAGTAATAAAAAATAAAAATTTGCTAAATTATAATTTAGTGAAATAAGCATTGTTTTTGAATTGTGGTCGAAAAAGAATAATGAAAAAAAAAAAAACTGTCCCGGACAAATTAAAGCACTTTGTTGATGAGCAGTGGGCCAAAATCAAAATACCTGTCAACAGGTGCATGGCCTCAGATCAGTACCTCCAAGTCCAATCTTGTTCATTAGTGATGGGAAAATGGAGCTCGAGGTGGACAGGCGGCTCGGTACGGCGTCAGCAATAATGCGGGCGCTGTACCGGGCTGTCATGGTGAATAAAGATTTACAAGTCCATCTACTTCCCAACCCTCACCTATGGTCACAAGCTTTGGTTCGTGACCGAAGGAACGAGATCGTGGATACAAGCGGCCAAATGAGCTTCCTCCGCAGGGCGGCTGGGCTCAGCCTTAGAGATAGGATGAGGAGCTCAGACATCCGGAGGGAGCTCGGAGTAGAGTCGCTGCTCCTGCGCGTCGATAGGAGCCAGTTGAGGTGGTGTGGACACCTGATTCAGATGCCTCCAGAGAAGCTTCCTCTGGAGGCCTTTGAACAGGTCCACCTGGCAGGAGACCCTAGGGCAGACCCAGAACCCACTGGAGAGATTGTGTCTCTCAGCTGGCCTGGGAACGCCTCGGGATCCCCCAGGAAGTGCTGGAAAGCGCCACTGGGGGGAGGGAAGTGGGACGACCTGCTCCGCCTACTGCCCCCGCGACCCGACCCCGGATAGGCGGAAGATAAGGGAGGGATGGAAGGTGCAGAAGTCCGATTGAGAGTTACAGAAAACACTTGATTGCAGTGATTGGCTCAAAGGGTCGTTCAACTAAATATTAGTTAACGGGTCCCATCAAGCTTGTTTGCTTGTTTTTGTTTTTTTGTTGTTTTGTTTTTTTTTATATTTCTGTTGAACCACAATTCAAAAACAATGTCATGATGTTCATTGATTTTTATTTATTATTACTTTTTTCAATTTCTACTTTTTTCTATGACAGCTGTTTTCTTTCCTTCTTTAATGGGAGGGTGTGAATACATCTGAGGACGACTGTATATGAAGCAAAGACATGCAGTTTCGAGTTGTGCTGCGTTTAAAGTGGTACAGAAATGTCTAACCTATAAAGATTGCCGCGACAACTTTGACAGAAAAGGATGCTGCCTGATGTCTAATAAGGGGCTTATGGTGCTTGTGTGTAACTAATCTCCATTAATGTCTCCCTCAGGATTAGATCTGAAGCCAGTGGATGGTTCTCGCCCAATTTCTCGCCTCCCAGACTCCCCAGCACCACCATGCTCCCAGCAGGATAACAACAACATCAAGCAAGAACCCAAAACTCCCATCGCTCCTAAGAAGACACAGGTGTGTATAAACATGACATGAGAAAGTAATATGGACAAAGTAATCGATAAGAAGCTTATTTCATCTTGATGAATCACAAGAGTCACTCCACTGAAAAAAGACAATGTGGGAGAAAGAAGGAGGGATGACTGTACAGAGGAGGAATGAACTGCAGTGTGGAAGCTCCAGTGGAAATGCACAAACTCACAGAGATGGAAGGAATATGGATGGAAAATCTATCACTTATCACTCCATGTGAAGTGGCACACCATGATGGAGCTCCTCCTGTCTGCTGGAGGCAGCGTGGAGACCAACCTGCAAACCATTTTCATATCCTGTGGGACTGCCCACTTATCAGACAGTATTGGAATGATGTTCATGGAGCACCACAAGACATTTTAAAATGTGTAATTCCTTTTGGAATCAAAATAGTTTATTTTGGATGTTTACCACAGGAATGGAGAAAAAAAAAGGATAAATATCTATTGAGTGTTCTGTTGGTTGCACGTAGGAAATCAATAACTAAGAAATGGTTATCGCAAGATATTCCCACCATGGATGTAACACTGGATATTTATAAAATGGAAGAGATGACGGCAGCTATGAATCAAAAACAAGACTGGTTTGTAGCATGTTGGGGGGAAAATGGGTTGCATACATAAAAATGATAAAGCCCAATGTTAATTTCAAATTTGAAAAGTCAAAGACAATGAAATGGGCACCCCCTAATGTTCTGAAAGACCTTATCTTCTTGTCTTTCTTTCTTTCTTTCTTTCTTTCTTTCTTTCTTTCTTTCTTTCTTTCTTTATTCATTTAGTCGTTCATTTTTTCCCTCTTATTTTTGTTTTATTTTTGATGGGAAATAGTTTTTTGAAAAAGGAACATTGATAATTTGAGCATATGTTGGCATGTCACTGAAAATTGTTTAAATTGATAAAGAATTTAAAAAAGAGAAAGTAAACTAGTAAACAGTAAACTAGACTCCTCTGTCTCGTTTATCAGTTTGATCATTTTCCTACTGCTCACTCTCCTCATTGTGTTTTGCTTTTCGTCTTCTCCCAGGACGTGAAGGTAAAGAACAGGGTTTCTTGGGCCATCCTGGCTCAGAGGTCCCAGTCCACACCGGCCTCCTCGGTGCGCTCTTCCAGCGACAGCTTCGAACAGTTCAGACGGGCGGCCAGAGAGAAGGAGGAGAGAGAGAGGCAGCTGAAAGCACAGGCAGAGCAGGCCAGGAGAGAGCAAGAGAAACTACGGTAAGCAGGAGCAGAAGAAAGCACAAGTCAACAGCTAGACGAAGATGTTATTAATTTTTAATTTTTTTTTGCCCACCTTCCATGCAGTGATTGTTTTCCAATGTCGGACACGTCACAACCAACTTGGAGTCACTTGAATGTCACTTGAGATGCGTTTGTCTCTGTGGATATCTTCATATCCTGCAGCATACGTTAGCTCATGGTGCCGTGATGCTCAGTGTTCCGCCAGCTGCTGTAAATGTCTGACGTTCCCACCAGCGTATAAACATAAAAATCAAGCTGACTTTTAAAAAGTCACGCTTTGATCTGAAACTTTTAAATGAACTCTTTACATTTACATGATTATGGTCATCTGATATCATCACAACATCTATAGAAGAGTTGACAATCGTTTTATAAGATGCTGTCAAATTCATCTTTAACTTTGTATATTGCGTGTTTTCTCCCTATTTGATCTGTTTTTTAAAAAGGAGAATTACACTCAAAATACAATATATAGCAGATAGACACTCACACTGGATTAGTTACAATAGCATATTAACATTATTATCAGTATTTGGTTTTGACAAATTATTAGTTGTTGTCAGTACATCACAGATCTCTGTTTCACATCAAGTTTCTCTTCAAGTCAACTGGAACGTTTGAGTTTTAGGTGATTTTTGTGACTGTACTGTGATTAATGGAAACTAACGGCTGCATACAGCGGAAAAAAAGAAAAAACAAACCCGTTGCATCCTTTAGACTGTTATACTAATCGAATGGTACAGCACATGTGAGTTGTAGTAATTGATTAACATTTATAAATAATTCTTCACCCCAGAAGACAAAAACTTTCCTAAGTCGGGGTTGACTAAGATCTAGTCAGGTGATGAATTACACACTTCTTCCTCTGTAGTGTGTCTATAAAAACCTATTACACTAAGTAATGACTCTGCCTTGACCAGGTGGAAGCAGAAAATTGATTAAAGGACTCTCTTTTTGAAAAAAAATCCAGTTCATATTCTGTTTTTCAGACTTTTCCTTCGCTGTGTAGCTGCTTTGTGGTGCATCTAGAACGTCTGCAAACTTAGAAAACTCGATGTCCACCTCAAAGGGGGTTCCTACAGGAAATCCTGCTGCTTACCTGAAACATTTTCTTCTGTTACTTATTTACATCACCATGTAACACATTTGCATAACACCTGCTTAGGAACTAAACAAACAAAGAATGATCCGCTCCCTCGCGGTCCACCATTATTCCTTCACTAGAGCTGCTTCTGCTGGAGCCACATTCCTAAAGTCATAGATGTGGGTTTACGAGGTCGTAATTAGACAGAAGTAAAAATAGAAGTGGAGAAGAGGATAGTATGAGAAAAATAATGTTGCTTTTTTTCATGTTAAAAGCATAGAACTATAATCTAGTTGGTCTCTAAAACATGAAACTGTAATTAAACTGTCAGCTGTCTTACTGTTGATGTTTTTTTTGATCTCGTAGCCGTGACGATGAGGACACGATGGAGCAGGCTCGCCGAGCGCAAGAAGACGCCCGCCGCCGCCAGGAGCAACAGTCGCCGCTCGCTCCGACACCTCCAGCTTCGACTCCGCCCACTCACTCTCCACAGGCCCCGCCTCCACAGCCACAAGCCCCGCCCACACCCAGCTCAGCTGCGCAGAACGCTCTCGACCAGCAGAGGGAGATGGCACGCCGCCGCGAGCAGGAGCGGCGGAGGAGAGAGGCGGTACGAACAGAACCGTGATAGAGAACCACTGTTCTTTTGTTGGAGGTGTTCCGGCTCAGCCTTCTAACGTTTCTTCTCGTCTTCTCCGCAGATGGCCGACACCATTGACATCAATTTCCAGAGCGACCTGATGGCAATTTTTGAAGAGAATCTGTTCTGAGAGGAAAAAGAGGTTTAATGGCGTGAGAGAAGGACACACATAAGCAAATTATGAAATGCATATAAATAACAGTGCTCTGATTCACACGGTCGCCGCTCACACACACACACACACACACACACACACACACACACACAGACTTACTAGTAACTGTCCCTTTCTCTCAGTAGTTGAAACAGCTGGCTTGTGTCATGTGAATGAGAGAGGGGGGGAAGTGAAAATGAAACCCTCTTTTCCTCCAGCCTCAGATACATTTTGGTGTCTGGCTCGGTCGAAGACAGACACATAGTCGGCTTCCTCGAGGAAACGGAAAAAAAAAAGGAGGAGACAGAACTTTTACATAAAAAAATAAATAATAATGGAGAACAGGATTTAATTTAAGAAATTAAGTGAAAAAGAAAAAAAAGCTCGATCCCTCGTGTGCTATAAGAGAGACGGGGGTTTAAAAGGAATGGGTGAACAAACAGCAAACGGACAGATCACTTTGCTTTTATTCTTCCTCTCTCCTAACCTTGTCTCTCTATTATTTTATTCTAAGTTGGATTTTAACTGAGAGGCTTGGACTGGGGTGGTCGAGTTTGTCAGGTTCAGCCGTCATCTGAGAGTCTGTCGTTTTCTCAGGACACAGTGGGAACGAAACACCCTGGCCACATTCGCACACTTTTCTAAGACCTCCTTCCTCCCCTCACTTCCTTCTACGTCTCGCTCTTCAGTCACGAATCAAAGAGGTGGAGGCTCCAGCCTGTGTTCTACATCCGAGGGCAGTGAGGAAGGAGTGATGGCATTTTAAAAGTTTCGGAGTGTGTCCTTTGCCTTAGCGCTCTGGCCTGTAAACTAATGATCACACCCTGCAAATTATACATATTATATATAAATAGATACATGAATATATATTATATACGACAAAATGTCAATGAAAAAGAACATGAGAGGGATTTGGATTGTGGGGAGCAAAGCTCGTCTCTGTGTTGATCTCTGGTTTTGATTTTGTAGAATTTACTGTAAAGAAGAAGAAAACTTTTTTATGATTCTATTGAGAGGATTGTTTCGTCTGTCTTATTCTCTCTCACACCTTTTCTGTTTCTGTTTTGTTTTTTTTTTTCTCAACTCTATGCCAAAACCAATCTATTGAGTGCTGCAAGTTCATTCACATTTTTTACATGTAAAATGCATCTTCTTTTCACTTTATATTAAAGGCTGTTTTTATTGCTATTTAATTTTCCTTTATCCCCTTTTAAATCCGAAGTTATGCAGCAGTTTGCTCTGTAATAGTTTCAAGAAGCGGTTTCAAAAATCAGTTTATGTGACTACTTTACTAGGCCCCATCATTCTGTAGTTGTTTGATAAATCTGCACTTACATGTCAATTACTTACATCTTCATTTTGTCATTATTTCTTTTCATCATGTACATGTTTTTAGCCAGTCGTAGCCGTCTCGTCTACCACTATCTTCTTCACAGCTTCTGCAGTCTGTATAATAGGTTCTCGTTTCTGAATCTGTCTTTTAGTTTTTATTTTTTGAACTGTTTTCATCGTCCAAGGTAACAGTTTTGGGATGTCGTGTGCCATTGTGTTTTACTGGAAACGGGAGCCTTTCCCAGTTTCTACAGCTTGGCCCAGAGATCCATGAGTGTTTTCAATTCTATAATCACTTTTTTTTTTTTTTTTTTTTTAAACGTTTCATTCATTTCTTTTCTCTTTTCATATTTGATTGTTTTGAGTTTATTTTCTTTCCTTTTTCCCTTTGCTATTTTTCTTTGATTATTTTACCCAGAACAATGTGTTGGTATGTTGGTGAGTGAGGCATTGAGGTCAATAGATTCATCTTGTTCAGAAATGGAGTACAACATCTTTTTTTAAGAAAAGTATTAAAATAATATTTAAAAAAATCTATTTTGGGTCGTACATTTTTTATCTTCTTGACTGTTCTTCTCACATGTTGTATATGTGCTGCCAACAGGGGGAGCTGTAGAGAAGGAAGAGCTGCAGTTTGCTCAGCGCTCAGTGAATTTGTGGCTCAAAGTACAGCTGAAACCAGAACTTTACATACACTGTATAGAAAGACAAACTTTTTTTTTCTCTCACTGTCTGACATTAAATCAGACACTTTTACAGTTTTAGGTCAGTTAGGATTACCAACATTATTTCTATTTGCTAATTTTTTTAGAGATTTTTTTTTTATTACTTTCTTCAAGTGCCCATTCCTCCTGACAGAACTGGTGGAGCTGAGTCAGGTTTGTTGCTCCACACGCCTTTTCAGCTCTGCCCACAAATGTTCTCCAGGATTGAGATCAGGGCTTTGTGATGGCCACTCCAACACATTGACTTTGTCGTCCTGAAGCCTCTCTGTAACTAATCTAGCGCTATGCTGAGGGTCACTGTCCATTTGGAAGATGCATTTCCGTCCAAGCTTTAACTTCCTGGCTGATGTCTTAAGCTGTTGCTTCAACATTTCCACATAATGTTCTTTCCTCATGATGTCATTTATGTTGTGAAGTGCACCAGTCCCTCCACAACATGATGCTGCCACCCCCGTGCTTCACAGTTAGGATGGTGTTCTCAGGCTTGCAAGCTTCCTCCTATTTCCTACAAATGTAACAATGGTCATTAAGGCCAAACAATTCAATTTTAGTTCCATCAGACCACAGGACATGTCTCCAAACATGAAGCTCTTTGTCCCTGTGGGCCTTTACAAACTGTAATCTGGCTTTTTTTATGTTGCTTTTGGAGTAATGTCTTCTTCCTCTCTGAGCATCCTTTCAGCCCATGTTGGTACAGGACTGGTTTCACTGTGGATAATGACTCTCTGACCAGCTTCAGCAGCATCTTCACAAGGTCTTTTGCTTTTGTTCTGGGGTTGATACACACATTTTGTACCAAAACACTTCATCTCTGGGACACAGAACCATCTCCTTCCTGAGCGCTATGATGGCTGGACATTCCCACGGTGTTTATACTTGTTATAATTGTTTGAACAGATGAACGTGGAACCTTCAGGCATCTGGAAATTGTATCCAAGGATGAACCAGACTTGTGGAGGTCTACAGTTCTCTCCCTGATATCTTGGCTGATTTCTTTAGATTCTCCCATGTTCTAGAAATAATTTCGGTAATCCTAACCGACCTAAAACAGGAAAAGTTTAGTCGGAGTTAAGGGAGAGAAAAAAAAGGGCTTTTATATCTTTTTATACAGTGTATGTAAACTTCTGGTTTCAACTGTATGTGGACGTCACCGGCTGTTTTATGATTTTGACTCGGCTATGTAGGTCCAGTTAAGGCTTATGTTCCAGTTACCGTAGCTACCGTAGTACACAAGTGCTGTTAATGAAAACAACAGCACATATTGCATGACTTAAACATACTGCAGAACAGAAAGCAGCACATTAAATCATTTAAAAACGCATTGCACAACTTGGAAACATCATATAGCACAGCCGCCAATCCTGACAAGGTTCATTTTAGGGCTATGGCTCAAACTAAGACCTTACTGTTTAATCATGTTCACAGAAGAAACCAGTGGAGTGCTCATCTGCCAGAGGGTAGACACTCCTAGAAAAACAAATTAAATAAAGCTTTATGTGTGTAGCACTTTTTAAAGCAAAGTTAACACAAAAATTAATTAGAATAAAACTGGTGAAGGCATAAAACTGATTCTTAAAAGCCAGACAAAACAACTGATGATTGTTCTTATGAATTCTTCCGAAGGTGTTTCTGATTTATCCTGAACAGCGAATCTCACAAACATTAAACTAAGATTCTATACGACTCTATACATGTGAATATTGTCATTAAACCAGATGCACAAAAAAGCATGTGAAATGTGGGAAACATTTAATTTAGCTAAAGTGGAACATTTGCACAAACACCCTAAAATAAAGACAAAAATGCAGCTATGACAGGTGTAATGAACTAGTTCAGTTTGTTAATGCTGATCACCACGAAGGAAAATTATGCCAAGAAGTGTACGTGTACGGATCATCTGAACGCAAAATAACCTGACCACTTCTCGTACTGCAGCGATGCACAAGACTAGTGGCTTCATGATTTAAACCATATATACACAGACAATCTAGAATGTACAGCCATGACTCGATAATCCGACACTAGATGTAAAACCTTCTTTTATGGCAGATAGCAAGGCTGTCGGATTGTCAAGACGGAGGTCGAGACACAACGAGGGCTTGATGCCTGAAGGGTCATTAGTTGTTAATATTCATTGTTCATAGTTGTTATAATAACTTGTGTATGGCTAGAACACTACGCATCGCTGGATTTCACACCTAATTGACTGTTGTGCTTGTGCACGTTCCGGACAATTCCACCCCGTCGGAGCACACCCCACGGGGTGGAAGTGGCCGGAACGCACAGGCAGTATTTGGCTGCTGATGCCGGTTTAGTTAGCGGTCACAGTTCTGTTTCCACCATCAGGGTTTACTTCGGCAAACTCTGAGCACGCTCGCTGCGTGTGACGTCGTCGTGTCCTCTTCTGTACATGCGGGACACTTTTGGGTTGTATGAAGTTCACACAGCAGATCACATACAAGTTGCATTTAAGTGGAAACTCGCAAAAAATCGGATTTCACAAAAAATCTAAATTGAGCATTAAGTCTGAACGTAGTCAATGTGTGGGATTGTTCAGTCAGATAATACGCCGTTATCCTTATTTGTGACATAAAATATCATGTTGGAGTCGGAATCCAGGGCTGTCGGTATGTTCAGGCTATTTTTTATGGGTTACGTTTGTTTTTCCTAAAAGCTTGTCGGATAGCAAAGTTTTCTGATTGTTAAGGGTCGGATTATCAAGTCATGACTGTATTTCTGATGGCATCAGCCTGTAATGGAGACCTGTGGAGGTCGCTGACCTTAAAGGCCTTCAGGCTGTGGGAAGGATCTTTGTGTTTCCTCATTAATAGTGGAGATGAGATTAACAACACATTACAATTACTGCTTTACCTTTTCCCAAATGGATGTTAATCAGCATTAAAAAAAAAATAAGAAGAAGCTGTTTAAATGCTTCTAGACTAGATTCAGATTAATTAGATCAGATTCAACTTCACTGTCACTGAGTCAAGGGACAGCAAACTGCAACAGGTAAAGAAGCAGTGAAAGCAATGTCAAGTTTCTATGTGGATAGAAACACACATAAATGACAATATAAAGGTAGTAAATATAAAAACAGGGATAAATGACAGAATGAACAGTGGATATGAAATGTAATATCTATTCCGTCTACACACAGCAGAGTGAACATGTGTGCAGTTAGTATGTGTTGTCACTGGAGCTTGTCGGCATACATCAAATATGTTCTGCCAGCAAAACATCTACTGCTGCTGTTCATTTTATTTTCCTCGGCGGGCAAGTCTCAGACCACAGCTCTGGTAAACATGAATACAAATGATCTCAATAATAGAAAATGTACAAACAGAGAGACATGCGGTCTCTTGGTTTTTGTGAAGGTGTTAAAGAACTGGGTTTGTAATTGGAACACTGTGCAGGATGTGCTCTTACAGCGGATCAACAGAGGATGTTGTGGTTGAGACCAGTTCAAACCAGCCACAGGTTGGAAAGAAGCAGCTAAAAGTCCCAAACGCTGTCAGTCGCTTGCTTCTCCGTTCACATATCTCTGCTGTGCATTTTAAGACAGACTGACTCTGTCGTATCTCACGTCTGAAGCCTTGGCACACAAACTGATAATAACAATGCACGCTGTGGTATTTAAACTGTATCCTAAGCTGTGTCTCCTGTGGCCTTGAGCAGCGTTATGAGCTGATAAAGCTGCTGCTGCAGCGAGGGTCTGTTCTCGTCTGCATTTCTTTATCTTACTCAGCAAGCAGAAAGCTTTTCCAGTCCTCATTTTTGACTTTCAAATGAGTACGTTTGTGGTTTTGCATAGCATTTAAATGGCCCAAATCACATGCAGGGCGGGACAGAAACCTACTCCATTTCCAAAACCCCCACTTGAGGAAGAGGTCAGTGAAACTAAATGTTGGAAATTGCCTGAATTTTAACAGGTGAGAGGATGAGAAAGGGCCAACATAGCGATAAATGAAGCTGGTGACATGCTGCGTCTTCCTTCTCCAGAAAAGAACACTGGACGGAAAGCACATCTGAACGGTGTGGGAATGTGTAAATAACAGAGTTTGTCAAGACTATAGGAAGACCTGAAAGTGAGATTTAGTAACAGGAAAAAGGGAGTCCTGCAGTGTTGGTGAGATAATGAATGAAGAGGTGAAGTATGTGCTGAGTGGTGAATGGAAGAACAGGAATGAGAAACATTGCATGTAGCAACAGATACTACAAAAGCCGATTCAGTCAAGCGAGCTGTGTGCGGACACGGAGGGATCATGTGATGCTCTTGTAGAAGCACAACGGCTCTTTGCACTCTTCACTCGTTCAGGTTCAGCGTGTTGCAGGAAATGGGTACCTTTGCTCGTTTCTGCATTTAAGCGCAGTTTTGTCTCGTTTCCTTCGCTTCTGTTTCGTGAGACTTTTCTCTGTAATTTAAAGGGGAAATCACTCTTTCATTTCATTTTTTTGTTGTTGTACAGTTTGCGGCCCTGTAAAGCACAGCGGTGTGTGGTCTGAACTGTGTCTCATGTCTGTGTTGTGAACTTTGTGAGCGCTCAGATTTATCTGTGTCACTCTTTGTCGGGAGTCTCCACACCCAGTTTGGAGGCCTCTTACAGGATAAGATATTCAATGCAAATGGAGAAGTCTTTATGCAGCCTATGTGCTCATTTTTGTCAGGAAAAGTCACAGTTACATATTCGCAGCAGCTGCCACACAGCTTCAGTCCATTCTGCTGAGTTCTGCCTTGTTCAAAGACACTATTGCAGAAGTAATCAGGGTCGAGGAGGTGTTGTTTATTCTGACAGTTCAGAATCTAAACC